ATCGAGTCCCACATCGGGCTCCCTGCTCCTTGGGAGCCTGCTTCTCCCTCTGCTTCTCTCTCTCTCCCCCTCTCTCTCCTCCTCTGTCTCTCATGAATAAATAAATAAAATCTTTAAAAAAAAAATTAAAAAAAAGAAGGTAAAACTGCTATAAATACAAGTCTAGAAGCCAAATTTGCATTTTTAGGAGAATATTCACAGTATCACTTACTCTCTTTCCATTAGTGTAACTAAGATTTGACTATGATTTGTAACAAATTTTTTCGTATTTTTTTTTCTGGCATCCTTACCAAATGGAGGGTAGCATTGAATTCTGTAGAACGTAAGTTCTATCCAGAAACAGAAAAATGCTCCTGATCATGATCTGCCAACGAAAAAGAAACTGATTTTTATATTTTGTTAAGCTGAAACATTTGCTCTTGATAAAACAAGAATAAAATTGCAGGATTCACTTTTATATATATACTGGACTACTACATACAAAGAAATCTACCTGAGAATATGCCTATACTATTTTTATTAAACTATTCTATTGTCTTAATCCTTGCTGTAGTTTCTAGAAAAGGGACACTTAAAATGGTCCTATGACTTCTCTGCAACTTGAGATGTAAGTGAAAATAAAAACAGGGAATTAAGGGGACACACATACAATTCTTCCTCAGTAACAGCTCATTCAGGGTGAAGCTGCCCTAAATTGTACATGTGTGGTTTTGGATAGGGGGATTTTAAGATTTTGAGTTTGCAGAACATAAGATATAAAATAAATACCAGATTAGGGAGAAAGGAAAAGGTGGTGATCTGAATGAACTAAAATGCAGGACCATGAGGCATCTTCACAGGCAATCAAGTAGGTGGGTGGGACATCCATCAAGACTAACAGACAAAAATGTAACTTTTTAAAAATGAGATACCTTTTCGTTAAGTGTGACAAAAATAAAAATGATCCTAAGGTGCAAGTCATTCCAAAATGGTGGTTTCCCTATAACTTGCAGTTTTAAAATAGAAAACTTAACCAAAATTAGTGTTCAATTCAGAATAAGAGCAGATATTGAGGCAATCCCCCACCACTGCAAAGCTTTTAAAACTAACAATCCATGTATTTGAAGAAATCTATTTAACTACAATACTTAGCTGAAACAATACTTTTTCCAGCTTACCATTTGTCTGCAATGATTTTGCCAGCATCTATCAATTTTCTTTAGAAAAAGAACACTATCCAATGAATCCATGAGATATGTCAAGGATACTTTTAAGTGCTTAGTACAAGTAATATAAGCAATGCAAGAGCATATTTGTCTTAAATATGGAGTATTACACACTAAATAAAAATAGGGACACCTGGGTGGCTCAGTCAGTTAGGTGCCTGCCTTCAGCTCAGGTCATGATCCCAGGTCCTGGGATCGAGTCCCGCATCAGCTCCTTGCTCAGCAGGGAGGCTGCTTCTCCCTCTGCCTGCCACTCCCCCTGCTTGTGCTCGCTCTCTGGCAAATAAATAAATAAAATCTTAAAAAACAACAACAAATGACATAGCACTTAATTATAGAACAAAATGTTATTTTTTAAACTGTAAAAAAGTTTTAGGTCCCATTAAATACCTTTTAGAACAAATCTTACACTAAGTGAGTATTATGTTGTTTATGACTTCCCTTATTTGTCCTTAAATGGAAATTTGTTAGGACAAAAAGGGTAAGGACATAAGGACATCTTATTTGCACTAACATCACAATGCAGACTTGGAACCTAATTAAAGTTGAAAAGTCAAGAACTCATTTCTTCTTTCTCCAGAAATGTAAGAAACAGTAACAAATCTACAAAACACAGGCATTCCATTTCAAGTTGGGTTAAGTAGTGAGGGATAAGAAAGGAGGGAACAGATAAAAATACAGTATTTTTGGTTTTTAAAAGGATATTCTCTGAACTGATGAATTTGTGCTTTGATGTGATCTTCACAAATCTGTCTCAGCTGTTTGTACAAGTTTGCAGAAATCTTGTAGGAACAGAGATTTTCTACAGCCTGCAAGATTAAACACATATTTGCTTAAGGAGAAAATAGGGTTATTGATTATTTATGTCAAATTCTTACTATTTTAATATTTTACATCATTTTATTAAAAAGCATTATTTATCCATTTGAAACACAAAGTAAAGTAACAAAATATGAATGTGAATGAACTTTTTCATAACCAATGTACCAAAAAGAAACCCCACTAATATATTTATTATGGCTGTTCAGGTTAAGGATGGAGGGAATCAAGTAAGGTTCTACCCTGGGGAGACATCCAATTTATAACAATGACTACATATCAATGCTGTCTTGTTCTTAAAAATGTTAATTGTTTTCATAAGCAGAATTCCATTTTGAGTTTAAAAAACAGTTTCACGAATTGGTTATCAGATGGATTGGGCAGTCTGACCACCATTGAATTAAAACTTACACTTTGGTTTTCCTGAACAGAACAATGGATTATTGCTAGCAGTATTATAACAAGTATGATGTAAACACCAAGTATTTTTCTCCAATATTTCAGTTCATGAATATTTAAATATAGAGGTTTTTAAATTTGCACAATTAAGTAAACATTAATTACAACAGAAATGACTATTTTTACTTCATTCTAATAGTTGAATTGGTCTTCTTTTATACCCAGATCCCAAAAAGACAAACTTCAGATTTCTGTGAGTTTCTTGTTATGTGTATCAAAGACTTTCACATTTAAAACAACAGGCCTGGTAAAACTCTTTGGATGAACTCTGATATAATCTACAATTCCAACTAGTAATGACTTAAGTATAACACCAGGATTCCTTCCTCATCACAACAAAAGGCAGAAAATCCATTAAAATTGACTCTAAGGAAGGATCCAAGTTCCGTAGGCTGGAGTGGAATTTTATAAATGCGTACGTGGAAGTCACATTCCCAGCATGCAGGTCCAATAAATAAATTAGCAAATGAAAAGAAAGCTTAAAGAAAACCACTTATATCATTGCAGGAAAGTCACTACACCTCACTAGGAAACAGCAGGCCAATTAGATCCAGTAGCTAAGGAGGAATAAGAAAGCTGATTCTCCTCTGGCCACTTTCCATGGGGCCTTGGGTTAGGCCACAAATACCTAAAGAGTGTATTTATGCTTATTTCATGAGCCGTTCTGTTCACATTGGTTCTCTATGGACTCTTCCCCTTCCTTCTTTAGTATTCTTCTCGTTGTAGCTCATGTTCCTCTTGAATGACTCATTTTCTCAGCATTTCTCATTTCCCTGCTTAGATTCTGTCTTTGTACTTCATCTTATCCACATTTCCCACTTCCAGTACTTCGCCAAGTCCTACTTCTCCCATTCCCTTCTGCTGTGTTTTTTATCTTCTCACACAAGATACCATATTCTCTTACTATTCAGCTAGGTCCCACCTCTTCCAATAAGCTTTCATTAACTGCCTTACCTGGCACTGTCACCAATCATAACACATTGATTTGTCACTGAGTCAATACTATGTCTTTTTTAAAATCCTGTATCTATTTGTGTATATCCCATCCCCCAATTCTCCTTAATGAGAAAAAGAGACTATGTGCTTGTTCATGTATCCATATATTCTTTTAATGCTTTGGGGGCTTTAAACCAGGTAATATGGTAAATATTCAAAAAATTAATGTACTTACAACTAGCAATGTGTCCTGCACATAGAAGGAGCTTATAGTGTAAGGAGAAAACTGACCGGAAAACACAGAATTACAAAACACTGTATTAGGTGCTATGATGAGGATAAGCATAGAGGCAAAGGCCCTAACCCAGTCTCTTTAGGACTGGGCCAAGTCAGGAAAAGCTTCCTGAGCAGAGGTATTACAGGTGGAATCCCAGAGACCAGAGGAAAATGAAGAGCTAGTGGGAATAATGAGAAATAGAGAATTAAGCTGGGCTTTATATGCTTACAATCTCCTCCATGTTTAGCTGGAGAGTTACTTAAGATGCTAGAGGCAAGAAAAACAGGAAACGGAGCATCTAAGATGAGTCCTGAAGGTCAAATTGGAAGAGAACACTCTGCTTCTCTAGTTAGCCTTGACTGCTTCTTAACATATATAGACCAGACCTAGTAATTTCCCTTCCTTAACAACCTTTCATCAAGCTCCTCAGGTACTGTTATAGAGAAATTCTATAATAGGTATAAAAAAATACAAAGGACTGGGGCACCTGACTGGCTCAGTCAGTGGAGCATGCGACTCTCGATCTTGGGGTTGTGGGTTCAAGCCATGCGTTGGGTGTTGTAATTACTCAAAAATACTTTTTTTAAAAGATTTTATTTATTTATTTGACAGACAGAGAAAGCACAAGCAGGGGCGGTGGCAGGCAGAGGGAGAGGGAGAAGCAGGCTTCCCACTGAGCAGGGAGCCAGATGCGGGACTCAATCCCAGGACCCTGGGATCATGACCTGAGCTGAAGGCAGCTGCTTAACTGACTGAGCCAGCCAGACACCCTTCAAAAATAAATTCTTAAAAAAAATCTGTTAAAAAATACAAAGGACTGAACCATGTGGTGCATGGTCTAATATCATTTATGTAAAAAAGCCAAAATAAATCAAAACACACACAGTTGTTTTTACATACATAAAACACTGCTGGAAAAGATACTCCCCAAACTAATAATGTTTGTGGATAGAGGAACTAGCTGTGGGGAGGAGGGTAGAGGACAGGGTGGAAGTGAAACTTTTCACTACATGCTCTGTAATACTTTTTGGGCTTTGAACCAGATGAATATATATTAAGTACTCAAAAAACTTAAATATTCACCTCACTCAATAAACCTTTTCTATCTTCCCCACCACCACACTTTTCAGCACAGCATTCAAGCCTCAATCTTACCATTTTAGTAGTCTCATGTCTGTTTATAATCTTCCACATACACCATGATCTAAACACTCTACTTTCCTTACTTTTTTAAGCAAGGTTTGTTTGGAGCAGTCATGTGTGCCTAAAACGGGGGCTTCCAAAAATTTTTGACAAGCCACAGCAAGAAATACATTTTATGTCACAATCCATTGTATGTAAAATAAATTTATGTAATTGAGGGGTGCCTGGGTGGCTCAGTCGTTAAGCATCTGCCTTCGGCTCAGGTCATGATCCCAGGGTCCTGGGATCGAGCCCCACATCAGGCTCCTGGCTCAGCGAGGAACCTGCTTCTCCCTCTCCCACTCCCCCTGCTTTGTGTTCCCTCTCTCGCTGTGTCTCTCTCTGTCAAATAAATAAATAAATCTTTAAAAATAAATAAAATAAATTTATGTAATTGAAACAAAATCTTCATGAAAGTACACTTATCATTACTATGTACGATGTTCTCCAATTTTTTTCTATTTTGTCTTTTAAAAAATGCTGCTCATTAGGGTGTCTGGGTGGCTCAGTTGGACTCCCTGCTCAGTGGGGAGCCTGATTCTCCCTCTCTCTCTGCAGCTCCCCCTGCTTGTGTGCTCTGTCAAATAAATAAAATCTTAAAAAAAAAATTAAAAAATGCTGGTCACAAACTACAATTTCATGAACCTACTAGAATATAAGCACCTCAGGGGCAAGGCCTAAGTGATCTTCCCAGGGCATCTGTCCAGCTCTGCACACAGGAAGCAGTAACTGACTCAGCAACGACTGTTTACTAAGTAAGTACTCTGTACCCTGTAAGGTGCTGGGATAGAAACATGAATAGGAAGGTGTTAAATCAATACTTAAAGTTTGGGATAAGCTCTACTTTATTCCAGATCTTTGAAATGCACTATTAGACATGTATTAGGTATTATTTTCTCTCACTTCACATGCAACTATTTGTATCAAACAGACTGTACATAGTTTTATAAGTCTCTTAAATAAAACTTTCTTTCTATGCAAGCTCCCAATCATTACTGGTAAAATATGCGACCTTAAATCCTTTTTGAAGGTAATCAGATATAAAATAGAAACATTCTAGGGGCGCCTGGGTGGCTCAGATGGTTAAGCGTCTGCCTTCGGCTCAGGTCATGATCCCAGGGTCCTGGGATCGAGCCCCACATCAGGCTCCTGGCTCAGCGAGGAACCTGCTTCTCCCTCTCCCTCTGCCTCTCTCCCTGCTCATGCTCTCTCTCTATCTCTGTGTCTCAAATGAATAAATAAAATCTTAAAAAAAATAAATAAATAAATAAAATAAAATAGAAACATTCTAGCAAGGTTCTAACCGTTATTCCTCTAAATCCCAGCCCCTTACCCGCCAAAATCCATACATGTCACATCAACAAACATGTTTGCAAAAAGAAAAAAAAAAACATGTTTGTCTGATACAAACAAAACCACACACTCCAAAGAAATGTAAACATGTAGCAAATGAAATGTAAAACTATAGTTCCTGAAATTTGATACTTTGGGGAATACAGGATTTAAGAAACTGCAAAGGCACAAAAGATTGCATCTGGGACAAGGGAACGGAAATGAGGGTGAGCAGTAAGCCTAGAATAAAAAATGAAGAGGATTAAAATAAGAATAAAAAACACAAAGACTACAAACATAATTAAACATGATAAGGGAGGAAATCTAGAAACTCTTCTGACTTAACAACAATAGACACCCGAAAGATACTAAATTTCCATCAGGGTGCTGAACTCCGGTCACTGGCCTAATGGGTTGGGTCTTATTTTTCAAACCACATGTTTAAAGAAAGGAAGGCACGCCACAAAGTTTTCAAGAACTGATACAGTAATAAAATCTAAATTATCTTTTTACATTTAGTAAAAATGGCTGAAATAAGATACTTGAAATACATCAAAAACTAAGAACTTGCAGAAAGGAAGCCAGACATGAATTTACATCTAGTAAAAAGGTTAGTTTAAGTAAGACTAAAATTACCAAGGACTAAGAATTTGTAGTTGCACACTTTTTAAATTGCTGGGATAATATTGAGTACTAACTCAATAAAGAGAGAAGCACTACATAATGTGATAGACTAAACTTAAAAAACATCAAGAGTGACAACAATTAAAAATAACCTTACATAGAACACAACTAGCTACTTATCAATATAGAATACAAAAGGGATGCCTGGGTGGCTCAGTTGGTTGAGTGTCTGCCTTCGGCTCAGGTCGTGGTCCAGGGGTCCAGGGATCCTGGGATCAAGCCCCGCACGGAGTCCCTCACGGAGCCCCTCATGGAGCCCCACATTGGGCTCCCTGCTCAGCGGGGAGTCTGCTTCTCCCTCTGCCTCTCCTCCCTGGCTTGTGCTCTCTCTCACTTATGCTCTCTCAAATAAATAAATAAAAAATCTTTAAAAAATAAATAGAATACAAAAGCTAATCATCTCTGCTAAGAATCTAACTGCTCTTCTGTAACCTCTGACTGCTTAAACAACCAGATTTTACAATGGGTAATAACCTGTACTGAGATGGACACACTATTTGCTTCTAGTCTTACAGTCATCTACTTGATAAATGAAGCATTACTAGAAAAGGCCATTATTTAAGATTTATTTCACAAAAAGCTAACCAAACAAGAGTTCCTATTATTAACAATAAATAAAATTATTTCCATCAGAATTGAAGTATGGACTAGGCTTGCCTTCAAAGAAAATAGCTAGACATTTATACTAAGAATAAATGTTATACTTTCATATATAAACAACCAGCCAGCTCCAGAAAAAAGTAGCTGATTTAAAAACACTACATAGCTACTTATACAAAGGCTGAGAACATGAGGAAAATGATCCCATTATTTAAAATACTCCAAATTCCAACGATTATAAGATACCACATGTAAAAAACAAGACACAGTCTTAAGAAGTAAAGGACACTGTTCCTAGAGAGTTCCTCTCTTTTTCTATTATTTTTTCAATTTGGCTAATGGTGTCTACTGACACATATTTGGAATGTAATCTATTTATCAGCCAGCTGTTCTGGCCCAGTGTGGATTTAGAATTTTAAAACATGTGTGTCTTTAGAGCTGTATAATAAAATATAATCTTAAAATTAAGGTATCTTTTCATTTTTTTTAAGATTTTATTTATTTATTTGACAGAGAGAGACGAGAGAGGGAACACAAACAGGGGGAGTGGGAGAGGGAGAAGCAGGCTTCCCGCTGAGCAGGGAGCCAGATGCGGGACTCAATCCCAGGACCCTGGGA